AATCCCGCTTACAAAAGGAAACCTATACCCGAAGATACCGCTTTGTTTAACAAATGGTGCTGAATAAATTGTTTTTATGTTTTAAACAAATATATTTTAATTTAAGTTTAATTATTTTATTTTTTTTTTGTTTTAGTTTTTATAACTAATATTTTTATCACAAAGAAAAGCTCAAATTTTTTTACTATATAATTTATATTTTTTTTTATATAAAAAAGTTTAGTCCTTATTGTTTATTTCTAATAATTTGTACTTCAAACGATTTGCACAAATATCTTATTGGTGCTTAAAAAACGAAATTTGTGCTAAAATCTTTATTTAAATTCTAATTATTACCAAATATTAATGAAAAATATTTTTATATTTTATTTATGAGACATTTGTTTAGAAAAACGAAAATACAAAAAAAAGGAAAATTAATCAAACTATAAACAATAAATAATCGTACATATGTATATCCCCCCCCACTGATGTTTCAAGAAGTCACAATTTAATATAATGATGTATTAAATACTAATTAAATATATATTTACTATACAATATTTATGTATAAATAAACAAAAACAACAATATTGATGTAAATTATTATAAACTAAATAAAATTTAAATAAAAATACACATATACAAGTAGAATACATACATATCGCCTCATTTACTACTAGATCGGCATAATCCCAAAAAAAATCGTTTACAATCGTTAAAACCAAATTCTGATAGTAAAGTTTAATATGTTTCTCATCAGTTTTTACGTTTATAACAAAAAGCTGATCTCACATCGAAATAAGAGACATATTTTAAATCTGATAAATCTATGTATATGAAAGACTATTGTTAAACGCACGTTTTGTAGCCTTTAGTTAAAAAAATCCGAATTTTGAATTATGCCAGTCTTATAGTAAATGAGCGATATAAACATTGCAAGATAAAATAAATTAAAAAATTATTTAAAATAAAAAAAAAGTAAACACAAAGCAATATGAATTAAATCGAGAAATATTATCAATGTCGTCGTAGCCTTATTCGTAAGTTAGAGCTAAGATAGCTAAACTATGGGTAAGACTATTAAGCAAACTATTGACTAAACATCAACTAGACTATTGATGGAAAACTTGACTATAGACTAAACTATGGACTAGACTACAGTGTAGTCTATGGTCTATTAGACTAGATTTTACTATAGACTAGAGTATAGACTAAATTATAGACTATGGACTAACACTATAGACTGGATTAAAGACCAGAATATAGACTGGACTATAGACTATACTATGACTATAATAAATTCTATATTATAGACCAAACTATATACTAGACTGCAGACTATTTTTAGAATAGGCTATAGCATAGACTAGACTATATACTAGAATATAGTAGACAACAGACTAGACTGCAGATTAGACTATAGACTTGACTATAGACCACACTATAGACTAGACTATAGACTAGACTGTAGACTAGACTATAGACTATACTATAGACCACACTATAGACTAGACTATAGACTAGACTATAGACTAGATTATAGACTAGACTATAGACTAGACTATAGACTAGACTATAGACTAGACTATAGACTAGACTATAGACTAGACTATAGACTAGACTATAGACTAGACTATAGACTAGACTATAGACTAGACTATAGACTAGACTATAGACTAGACTATAGACTATAGACTAGACTATAACTAGACTATAGACTAGACTATAAACTAGACTATAGACTAGACTATAGACTAGACTATAGACTAGACTATAGACCAGACTATAGACTAGACTATAGACTAGACTATAGACTAGACTATAGACTAGACTATAGACTAGACTATAGACTAGACTATAGACTAGACTATAGACTAGACTATAGACTAGACTATAGACTAGACTATAGACTAGACTATAGACTAGACTATAGACTAGACTATAGTCAAGTCTATAGTCTAATCTGCCGTCTAGTCTGTTGTCTACTATATTCTAGTATATAGTCTAGTGCTATGACTAGACTATAGACTAGACTATAGACTAGACTATAGACTAGACTATAGACTAGACTAGAGACTAGACTATAGACTAGACTATAGACTAGACTATAGACTAGACTATAGACTAGACTATAGACTAGACTATAGACTAGACTATAGACTAGACTATAGACTAGACTATAACTAGACTATAGACTAGACTATAGACTATACTATAGACTAGACTATAGACTATACTATAGACTAGACTATAGACTAGACTATAGACTAACTATAGACTAGACTATAGACTATAACTATAGACTAGACTATAGACTAGACTTAGGACTAGACTATAGACTAGACTATAGACTAGACTATAGACTAGACTATAGACTAGACTATAGACTAGGCTATAGTCTAGTCTACAGACTAGACTATAGACTAGACTATAGACTAGACTATAGACTAGGCTATAGACTAGACTATAGACTATACTATAGACTAGACTATAGACTAGACTACAGACTAGACTATAGACTAGACTATAGACTAGATTATAGACTAGATTAGACTAGACTATAGACTAGACTATAGACTAGACTATAGACTAGACTATAGACTAGACTATAGTCTATAGAATAGTCTAGTCTAGTCTATAGTCTAGTCTGTAGTCTAGTCTGTAGTCTAGTCTATAGTCTAGTCTATAGTATAGTCTATAGTCTAGTCTATAGCCTAGTCTATAGTCTAGTCTATAGTCTAGTCTATAGTAGTCTAAGGTATAGTCTATAGTCTAGTCTATAGCCTAGTCTATAGCCTAGTCTATAGTCTAGTCTATAGTCTAGTCTATAGTCTAGTCTATAGTCTAGTCTATAGTCTAGTCTATAGTCTAGTCTATAGTCTAGTCTATAGTATAGTCTATAGTCTAGTCTATAGTATAGTCTATAGTCTAGTCTATAGTCTAGTCTATAGTATAGGCATAGTCTAGTCTATAGTATAGTCTATAGTCTAGTCTATAGTCTAGTCTATAGTCTAGTCTATAGTCTAGTCTATAGTCTAGTCTATAGTTAGTCTATAGTCTAGTCTTATAGGCTAGTCTATAGTCTGTCTATAGTCTAGTCTATAGTCTAGTCTATAGTCTAGTCTATAGTCTAGTCTATAGTCTAGTCTATAGTCTAGTCTATAGTCTAGTCATAGCACTAGACTATATACTAGAATATAGTAGACAACAGACTAGACTGCAGATTAGACTATAGACTTGACTATAGTCTAGTCTTATAGTCTAGTCTTATAGAGTCTAGTCTATAGTCTAGTCTATGTCTAGTCTATAGTCTAGTCTATAGTCTAGTCTATAGTCTAGTCTATAGTCTAGTCTATAGTCTAGTCTATAGTCTAGTCTATAGTCTAGTCTAGTCTAGTCTAGTAGTCTAGTCTATAGTCTGGTCTATAGTCTAGTCTATAGTCTAGTCTATAGTCTAGTCTATAGTCTAGTTTATAGTCTAGTCTATAGTCTAGTTTATAGTCTAGTCTATAGTCTATAGTCTAGTCTATAGTCTAGTCTAGTCTAGTCTATAGTCTAGTCTATAGTCTAGTCTATAGTCTAGTCTATAGTCTAGTCTATAGTCTAGTCTATAGTCTAGTCTATAGTCTAGTCTATAGTCTAGTCTATAGTCTAGTCTATAATCTAGTCTATAGTCTAGTCTATAGTCTAGTCTATAGTGTGGTCTATAGTATAGTCTATAGTCTAGTCTACAGTCTAGTCTATAGTCTAGTCTTAGTGTGGTCTATAGTCAAGTCTATAGTCTAATCTGCAGTCTAGTCTGTTGTCTACTATATTCTAGTATATAGTCTAGTCTATGCTATAGCCTATTCTAAAAATAGTCTGCAGTCTAGTATATAGTTTGGTCTATAATATAGAATTTATTATAGTCAATAGTATAGTCTATAGTCCAGTCTATATTCTGGTCTTTAATCCAGTCTATAGTGTAGTCCATAGTCTATAATTTAGTCTATACTCTAGTCTATAGTAAAATCTAGTCTAATAGACCATAGACTACACTGTAGTCTAGTCCATAGTTTAGTCTATAGTCAAGTTTTCCATCAATAGTCTAGTTGATAGTTTAGTCAATAGTTTGCTTAATAGTCTTACCCATAGTTTAAGCTATCTTAGCTCTAACTTACGAATAAGGCTACGACGACATTGATAATATTTCTCGATTTAATTCATATTTGCTTTTGTGTTACTTTTTTTTTATTTTAAATAATTTTTTAATTTATTTTATCTTGCAATGTTTATATCGCTCATTTACTATAAGACTGGCATAATTCAAAATTCGGATTTTTTAAACTAAAGGCTACAAAACGTGCGTTTAACATAGTCTTTCATATACATAGATTTATCAGATTTAAAATATGTCTCTTATTTTCGATGTGAGATCAGCTTTTTGTTATAAACGTAAAAACTGATGAGAAACATATTAAACTTTACTATCAGAATTTGGTTTAACGATTGTAAACGATTTTTTTGGGATTATGCCGATCTAGTAGTAAATGAGCGATATGTATGTATTATACTTTGTATATGTGTATTTTATTTAAATTTTATTTAGTTTATAATAATTTACATCAATATTGTTGTTTTTGTTTATTTATACATAAAATATTGTATAGTAAATATATATTTAATTAGTATTTAATACATCATTATATTAAATTGTGACTTCTTGAAACATCAGTGGGGGGGGATATACATATGTACGATTATTTATTGTTTATAGTTTGATTAATTTTCCTTTTTTTTGTATTTTCGTTTTCTAAACAAATGTCTCATAAATAAAATATAAAAATATTTTCATTAATATTTGGTAATAATTAGAATTTAAATAAAAGATTTTAGCACAAATTTCGTTTTAAGCACCAATAAGATATTTGTGCAAATCGTTTGAAGTACAAATTATTAGAAATAAACAATAAGGACTAAACTTTTTATATAAAAAAAAATATAAATTTATATAGTAAAAAAATTTGAGCTTTTCTTTGTGATAAAAATATTAGTTATAAAACTAAAACAAAAAAAAAATAAATAATTAAACTTAAATTAAAATATATTTGTTTAAACATAAAAACAATTTATTCAGCACCATTTGTTAACAAAGCGGTATCTTCGGGTATAGGTTTCCTTTTGTAAGCGGGATTTGTAGCCAGATAAACGACCAAACCACCAAACACGATATACAAAACACCACACAAATTAACCATAACACCAGAACTGGGTAAATTTGAATAGTTGGCACTAAAATGAGTTACAACAAATTAATATAAAAAAAGAACTCATTATTTAAATTAATTTTTTTCGATTCGTTTAACTTACACTGAAAATATCGCCTTTTCAGTTATGCCCATCAAAGCCGAAGCGATTGCCAATACAAAACCAAATAGACCGAAATATATGTGCAATGGCATGATAGCAGCTTTCAATGATTCCTTAGCACCTGGTACTAAATATGCCGCAAAGCCAACAACATATTGCAAACAGAAAAGTATGACGGCCGATAGACCCAACCATGAGTGCAACGAATACATGTTCGGTATGGGAGTTTTGGCTAAATTATGTGAATCGAATACGGTTTTGAGGGCAATAACCGTTAGTATGAATGCACCCATGTGTATGGCGGCATGTGTTATTTTCAATGCCTTCTTGCGCGTTGAACGGAAGCCACGATATACCAAAATGGCTTTAGAGGTGTTCAATGTAATCAAATTGAAAAATATGAAAATATATATTTTTTTTTTTAGAAAAAAAAATTGTATTTAGTAAGTAATTTTATTTAATAATGTGATTAGTTTTATACTTAAATGGAGTTAATAAGTTAAAAAATAATTGATGTTTTTTTTTTTATTTAATGGCAATTTATATATATTTATATATATATATGAATGTAGTTATAAGTGTCCAAGAAGAAAGGGAACTGACACAGATATAGTTCAATGCTGTATTTGAAGATGATTTCTATAGGCCATTTTCCAATAACATTTCAAATGTCATGTCTAACGTAAGTATACTCTAATCCATAGTTTATTTACTAGTTCAGTCCTTTGTCTTGTATATAGTTAGGTTAAGGGTCTACTCAGGATTCTACAGTCTATACAATGTTTAAAAGTTTATTAGTGTAGAATATAGACCTGTCTCTAGACTATGGTCTCGACTATAGACAATACTATAGTATAGATTATAGACAATGCTATACTCTGGACTATAGAAAATACTATAGTCTGGACAGTAGACAATGCTAAAGTCTAGACTATATATAGCCTATACAATTCTATAGCATGGACTATAGACAATACTAGACTATAGACTAAAAAATAGGTTGTCTATGGATAAAACTATAGTCTGAACTATACACAAGAGAGTAGTTTGGACTATAGACAAGATTATAGTCTGGACTTAATACAATACTATTGTCTAGAATACAGTCAAGTCTACAGTCTGAACTGTAGACAAGACTATAGATCGGACTGGAGACAAGATTATAGTCTGGACTATATACAAAACTATAAACTGGACTTTAGACAATATTATATTCTGTACTATAATCAAGACTATGGACAGGACTATATACTAGACAATCGTCTGGACTATAGATAAAACTATAGTTTCGATTAGAGATAATATTATAGATTAGACTATAGACTAAACTATAGTAGATACAATGCTATGGTCTGGATCATGGTCTTGACTATAGTCTGGACTTTTGTCAAGGCTATAATATGGACTATAGACTATAGTCTGGACAATAGTAAAGATAATAGTCTGAACTATAGACAGGACTAAAGTCTGGACTATACATATGTCTATAGACAAGACTATAGTCCGGACTGTAGGTAAAATATAGACTAAACATTTCTTTGAACTTTATACTAGACAATAATCTGGACTATAGACAGTTCAATAGTGTGGACTATATACAATACTATTGTCTGGACTTTAGACAAAACTATATTTCGGACTATTAACAAGACAATAGTGTGGACTATATACTAGACGATATTCTACATTACAGATAATACTATAGTCTGGACTATTGACAAGACAATAGTCTGGACTATAGACAAGACTATAGTCTGGACTATATACTAGACGATATTCTAGATTGTAGATAATACTATAGATTGGACTACAGATCATATAGTACTATATACAGTTCAATAGTGTGGACTATATAAAATGCTATAGCCTGGACTATGGATATAACTATAGGTTGGACTATTGGCAAGTCTAGTATGGACTATAGAATATAGTCTGGACAATAGAAAAGATAATAGTCTGAACTATAGACAATACTATAGTCTGGACAGTAGACAGGACTATTATCTGGACTTTAGATAAGACTATATTCTGGATTATTGGCAAGACAATGGTCTGGACTATATACTAGAAGATAATACTATAGTCTGGACTATTGAAAAGACAATAGTCTGAACTATATACTAGACGATATTCTAGATTATAGATAATACTATAGTCTGGACTATAGATCATGTAGTACTTTTACAATGCCTGGACAATAGATACGACTATAGTCTGGCATATAGACAAATTTATAGTCTGTACCATAGACTGCCTAGATAATAGACAAGACTTTCGTTTGGATACAAAAAACTACAATAAAGATAGGACTATAGTCAGTATTATAGTCCAGACTATAGATTATGCTGTAGACATGTCTTTTTTACTTTTCTCCTAGAATAATTTTAGACAACACTATAATCTGCACTATTGTTTACAAATCATACATTATATTCATGGCTATATTTATAAGCATTTCCGAAATAGAACTCCATAAAATGGAATAAAAACATCAATGCAAAACATCGACAAATTGCTATTTTAGTATTATTTTCTTCCCCCTTTCAAAATTTTTTAACAATTGAATTGAAATGTCTTAAGAATTTTTACTAAAAAATGCACGTAACAATAACTTTGAATACTTGAAAAAACACACATACATATTTGCAAAATACATAAACATTATTCAAAACCTAATTAATAAACAAAAGTGTGTGGATTTTTCAGAAAAAAAAGAGACGCTTAAAATCGATTTTGGCATACTAATCATATCAAAATAAACATTAAATAAAAATCAACCATTGCACAATTGCAAATTAACTGCACCTTCACGTCACCTACGAACGTAACAATATTCAACCGCCATCAATAACAAAAAAAAAATACACACCTTTTAGATACGTATCCATCCATTCATTCTACCTTCAATAACATCTCAGAAATAAAATATTTTTATTTACTATTTTGTATTAAGAATAACAACAGATTTAACTTTAACTACGACATAATACCTACAGACATTTGCGAATATGTCAGTTTAGATTTTATGCTTTTTTTTTTGAACGACAAGTGCAACGAAATGTTTATTTCAACACGCAATAATAAGAACGTCAAAAATAAATGTAAAAGAATTAAATTTTTTATTAGTTTAACGAAGGACTTTTGCCAACTATGAATAACTGTATTGACCTATACTGTAGTCGCACAAATATATATTGTAAGTCATTAATAAGCACTTAATTATGACATAAGTTGTGAAGTTCGGTTTAAGTAAGGTAATTGATGCAATATGTAGTAGTTAATTAATTACTTATAAAAACTTACCATTGCCATATAAGAATATTAAACCGATTGTCATGAGTAGTGGATGCCAATTGAATTCTAAACTTGGATTATTGGTACCACCCAAGCCGCCCATATGTACACCGATCCAACTGCCCATTAAAACGATCATTGTTAAACCGCATAATTGGGTTAAAACATATAATACTTTGAAATTAGCCAATGCTGGATCCGTGTCCATTTTATCTGGAAAGAAAAATTAATATTATTAATAGAAATCAATAGAAAATATTATTAATAGAAATATTACTAAAGAATAATTTATTTCAGTCGGGACTATCGTCTAGACTATAGACAAACTATACCAGACTAGACAATAATCTGGAGCAAAGACAAGACCGCTGAACTTTTGAATATGCTATGGTCTAGACTATAAACTAGACTATTTTGCAGATTATAAGCTAGGCTATTGTCCTGACTATAGACAAGACTATTTTATAGACTACAGTCTAGATTTTAGACCAGACTATAGACTAGACTACAATCTGGATATAAAATTAAATAGACTATAGCCTGGACTATAGTCTGGACTATAGAATAGACTATAGTCTGGACTATAGAATAGACTACAGTCTGGACTATAGAATAGACTATAATCTGGTCTATAGAATAGACTACAGTCTGGACTATAGAATAGACTACAGCCTGGACTATAGAATAGACTATAGTCTGGACTATAAAATATATACTATAGTCTGGACTATAGAATAGATTATAGTCTGGACTATAGAATAGACTATAGTCTGGAGTATAAATTAGACTATAGTCTGGAGAATAGAATAAACTATAGTCTGGAGTATAGACTAGACTATAGTCTGGAGTATAGTCTGGAGTATAGACTAGACTATAGTCTGGACTATAGAATAGATTATTGTCTGGACTATAGAATAGACTATAGTCTGGACTATAGAATAGACTATAGTCTGGACTATAGAATAGACTATAGTCTGGACTATAGAATAGACTATAGTCTGGACTATAGAATAGACTATAGTCTAGACTATAGAATAGACTATAGTCTGGACTATAGAATAGACTATAGTCTGGACTATAGAATAGACTATAGTCTGGACTATAGAATAGACTATAGTCTGGACTATAGAATAGACTATAGACTGGACTATAGAATAGACTATAGTCTGGACTATAGAATAGACTATAGTCTGGACTATAGAATAGACTATAGTCTGGACTATAGAATAGACTATAGTCTGGGACTATAGAATAGACTATAGTCTGGACTATAGAATAGACTATAGTCTGGACTATAGAATAGACTATAGTCTGGACTATAGAATAGACTATAGTCTGGACTATAGAATAGACTATAGTCTGGACTATAGAATAGACTATAGTCTGGACTATAGAATAGACTATAGTCTGGACTATAGAATAGACTATAGTCTGGACTATAGAATAGACTATAGTCTGGACTATAGAATAGACTATAGTCTGGACTACAGAATAGGCTATAGTCTGGACTACAGAATAGGCTATAGAATGAACTATAGTCTGGGCTATAGAAAAGACTGTAATCTGGACTATAGAATAGACTATAGTCTGCACTATAATCTGGACTATATAATAGACTATAGTCTGGTCTATAGAATAGACTATAGAATAGACTATAGTCTGGACTATAGAATAGACTATAGTCTGGACTATAGAATAGACTATAGTCTGGACTATAGAATAGACTATATTCTGGACTATAGAGTAGAATATAGTCTGGACTATAGAGTAGAATATAGTCTGGAATATAGAATAGAATATAGTCTGGACTATAGTCTGGACTATAGTCTGGACTATAGAATAGACTATAGCCTGGACTATAGAGTAGAATATAGTCTGGACTATAGACTAGAATATAGTCCGGAATATAGAATAGAATATAGTCTGGAATAGACTATAGTCTGGAATATAGAATAGACTATAGTCTGGACTATATAATAGACTATTGTCTGGACTATAGAATAGAATATAGTCTGGACTATAAAATAGACTATAGTCTGGACTATAGAATAGACTATAGTCTGGACTATAGAATAGACTATAGTCTGAACTATAGACACGACTATAGACTAGATTATAGATTACAGAATATACCATAGTCTAGACTATAGTCCGGACTATAGAATAGACTATAGTCTGGACTATAGAATAGACTATAGTCTGAACTATAGACACGACTATAGACTAGATTATAGATTACAGAATATACCATAGTCTAGACTATAGTCTGGACTATAGAATAGACTATAGTCTGGACTATAGAATAGACTATAGTCTGGACTATAGAATAGACTATAGTCTGGACTATAGAATAGACTATAGTCTGGAGTATAGAATAGACTATAGTCTGAACTATAGACACGACTATAGACTAGATTATTTTCTATATTATGATCAACAGAGTTTATTATAGTCTCATCTATAGATTGGCAAAAAAAAATTTTTCAAAAATATTATTCAAAGTCGGGAAGTAATTAAAAAAACACTTTGTTTTTAAGCACACAATTTAATAATTTTCATAATATTTAAATATATTTTTAATTAAACTAATTTTATGTATTAATCATCAACATTCTTGTTTATATTTATTTTCTGTTTGAAAAAAAAACTCAAATAAAATAAAAACAGTACTACGCAAATTAATTATTTATTCAGAAAGCATATGCGTTTTTTTCGAACAAGTGGCGGGTACACATTTGACTACAAATCATAATAAAAAAAAATGTTGTAGTATTTTGTAAATAAATAAAAATTCTTTATGAATTTTAATAACTTTTAATAAAATCAATAAAATTTCAATAATATTTTCATATTTACTAAATAGAACTTTAGCAAAGCCCTACCCTAACAATTATAAGTGATGAAAGAAATATTTGAAAAGAGTTAAGTTGAAGTAGTTATCTGAAATGAAATGTACGCAGTTTGTTATATTTATGGTTTTTTAATTTAAATATGAAAACAAATCATGTTAAAATATTTTTTACTTTCTTTAATATTTTTAGAAATTTGTCGAAAAGATGCACGATCCTAGATTATTTAAAAAAAAAAACCTAATTAACTGATATAAACAAGTTAACAAGAGAAGAGCAAATTAAATTTTAATTATAACAAAAGTTAAAGAAGAAACACTTTTTTGTAATTGTTTGCCATACATACACACACTCAACAAACTAATTGTGCAAATATTTGTAGCAAAATTTTATTAACTTTTAATTTTTTTTTACCTCAGTTCAATTATAAACCAAAAATAAAACAAAACTCGAATTCTTATCTAGTATTTTGAAAAATAGATAAAAACCCAATATTTGTTTTAAAGCATCCGTTGCAAACTTAGAAGACAAAGAACATTTTATAGAAATTTTTTAACTTTATAATAATGCTCTTTTATAAAAGTTATTTTTAATTTAAAGGTGTTTTTAAATAAACATTTGTGAAAATTAAATAAACTGTTAAATTTTTGACAAGGCTATATAGAATAAACTATAGCCTGTACTATATACTTCGGTTTATAACGTAGACTAGACTGTAGTCTAGAATATAGTCTTTAGACAAAATTATAGACTGGACTATAGATCAAAATATATTCTGGACTATAGACTAGACTATAGTCTGGATTATAGACTAAACTATAGTCTGAACTATAGACCAGACTACATTTAAACAAGATTGTTGCCTGGACTATAGACTAGAATATAGACCGGACTATAGACTAAAATACAAACTGTAATCCGGACCAAACTATTATATGTACCAGACTATAGTCTGGACTATAGACTAAACTCTAGTCTGGACTATAGACTAAACTATAGTCTGGACTATAGACTAAACCATAGTCTGGACTATAGAATAAACTATAGTCTGGATTACAGACTAAACTATAGTCTGGACTTTTGACTCAATTGTCATTGTTTGACTATAGCTTGGACTATAGTCTGGACTATAGACTGACTACAGTCTTTACTATAAACTAGACTATAGTCTGGACTATAAACTAGACTATGGTCTGGACCATAGACTAGACTTTAGTCTGGACTATAGACTAGACTATAAGCTGGACTATTGACTAGACTATAATCTGGACTACAGACTATACTATAGTCTTTACTATAGACTAGACTATAGTCTTTACTATAGACTAGACTATAGTCTTTACTATAGACTAGACTATAGTCTTTACTATAGACTAGACTACAGACTAGACTAGAGGTCTATAGTAAAGACTATAGACTAGACTATAGTCTTTACTATAGACTAGACTACAGTCTTTCTTTGCTATAGACTAGACTATAGTCTTTACTATAGACTAGACTATAGACTATACTATAGTCTGGACTATAGACTATACTATAGTCTGGACTATAGACTATACTATAGTCTGGACTATAGACTATACTATAGTCTGGACTATAGACTATACTATAGTCTGGACTATAAACTATACTATAGTCTGGACTATAGACTAGACTATAGTCTGGACTATAGACTATACTATAGTCTGGACTATAGACTATACTATAGTCTGGACTATAGACTATACTATAGTCTGGACTATAGACTATACTATAGTCTGGACTATAGACTAGACTATAGTCTAAACTATAGACTAGACTATAGTCTGAAATATAGACTAGACTATAGTCTGGACTATAGACTAGACTATAGTCTGGACTATAGACTAGACTATAGTCTGGACTATAGACTAGACTATAGTCTGGACTATAGACTAGACTATAGTCTGGACTATAGACTAGACTATATTCTGGACTATAAACTGTAGTCTGGATTACAAACTGGACTATAGACTGGCTATAGTCTGGACTAATGACTAGACCATAGTCTGGGCTATATACTGGACTATTGTCTGGATTATATGCTGTATTATTGTCTGGATTAGAGTCAGGACTATGTCTTGAACTATAATCTGGACTATGTAATAAACTATAGTCTTAACTACAAACTATTGAATATAAACTAGACTATAATCGTAACTATGGTGTAGACTTTGGTCTGATCATGCATATAGAATAATCCATATTCTAGACTAAAGAATATACTTAAGTCTGGGCAAAAGAATAAACTATAGTCTGAACTAAATAGTCCAGACAATAGACTGGACCAAAGAATAGACTATAGTAAAAAGTAAAGCCTGGACTGTATAATATATTATAATATGA